ATTCAATTATTGTCAAAGAGCTTGTCTACCTTGACACAATTGCATGATTCTATTCTAAATTGCAATTCTCTACTGTAAAATTAAAACTAACACACAATGAAATATTTTATGCTTTTTAGTGATTTTTTTTTTAATCATAAAAATATAAAACTTTACATTTTTATTAATTAAAAAATTTTAAGTAAAATTAACAATATTATTATTTTATTTATTCTAACAATAATTCTGTTTTTTATTTGAAATAAAAACTGTCATTTTCAAGGCATTTTAGAGGTTGTTAAAATAAAAGGGGAAACATAACCTCAAAATTAGTAATTCAAACACGTAACACAATTTAACATTCAAAATTAAATTTTTGTTAATTTTAACCTGTTCTGCAAAAATTCTAACCCTATTTTTTTATTGCAATGAAAAAAAAAATAATCAAAATGATTAAATACCTATTTTGTATTATTAAATGAGGTATTTAAAATGAATAAGACACAATATATGTGCGTGTGCAAATAATATAATAATTTCTTGATTATACACGCGTTTAGTCAACTTTGTATTAAATATGTAAAAAATATTTTACACATAAAATCGCATACATTTCAATGATTACAATACAATTAAATACACATATATATATATATATATATACATACATCAATATACGTGCGTCTCAAATTGTTTTGTGTCGTGATTTTTTTAATGCAACGTCAGCACGTAAATGGTAAAAACAAGATGCGTGGTCGTGCGTGCGAGTGGCGCGTTAAATTAATAAAAAAAAAAAAATGTCAAACCTCGGTATTTAAAAGTGTAATCAGTAACAAAAATATAATACCAAGAAATAAATTGTTCAACAATATTTTATAAATATCAGTAAATATTTATTAAAAATATTTCTCCTTAATATCGAATAAACTGATCGTGCATTTTTGTCAACAATTAATGTTGTAATTATAAAATAAACGATAAAACATTTCGAGACAAATGAATTTTTAAGAAATGAGAATAATGTTTATCACCATATGCGATCTTAATGATTATAAACAAACAAAATAAACACACATATATATGTAGATATAAATAAATATACCAATTAAAAAATCAATCAATAAATAAGGAAATTAATTAAAGAATAGCAAATAATTTAGAAATTTTTTTTTTAATCAATTAAAATTTCTTATTTATGGAAGCCGACAAAGGATAAAAACAATCTTTATTCTTTCCAAAAATGTCATAAATTTTAATTTATTATTATGATTTTTTTTTTGTAGCAATATAATAATTTATTAAGTCGTAAGAAAATGTTCAAGAAAATTTTCTGTATCAAATATATATGTAGATATAACCGTATAAACGATTTCTTTATCGGGGTATAAAATATTTTTTTACAATTTATTTCTGTTATCAAACACTTTTATGCGTATATTAAAGCATGTAGAATTTTAAAAAAATTGTAATCAATATTAATTTTTCAGTAATAGCAAATCTGTACTGAGCCAGTATTCAACCAGTATCAGATGTACTTACACTGTATTTTTAATTATACAGACAGTACTGGTTCAATACTGGCAAAATACTCATTTACCAGTACTGGAAAATTAATAATGATTCAATACTGGCACAGTAGTTTTTTGCTATAGTACTGGAAGATCAATACTTGTTCAATACTATGGCATAAGAATAATTTTCCAGTACTGTCAGTGTCAACGACGGTAAAAATATCGCGATAAAGAAAATTTTGGTGTCAAAAATTAGACAATAAACAAGGCAATATTTAATTTCTAATTATAAATAGCTTTTACTATTAAAAACTCACCAAAATAAATGTAAATCAGTGCGAGGATATTCCGAGAAGTATACTGTCGTCCTTCCGGAGTTGTCCTTATCACAATTTTTTCCGTCACTTTTTCTCACTTATTTTAAGTTCCATACAGAACGCGTACACGATTAATACTAAAATTTTTCTTGCTATGAGACTCGCAATCATCCCCATATTATTCATCCCTGAACAGAGGTCATAAAATTTATTATCGCAAAGGTCCTTCCCCTCAACCCGCAGGTAACAAAAATTAATAACAACAAATTGAATCTGGATAAACAAAAATCAAATAATATTCTAAATTAAATTTAAATAATAATATTAAATTAATGAACAAAATAATCAAATAAAATTTTTCTTTGTTTACCTCGTGAGGTACAATTATTGTGAAAATTCATATGGCACGTATGGAAGAATAAAGCAATGAGCGAGCGCAATAAGCAAATAAAATTGTAGTCACAATGGAAGAGAAAAAGGGAGGGGAAGAGGCATGAGATGAGGATAAAGGGAGATTCCACGGTTTCATCTTGGTTATGGTCATAAAAGCAAAGCAACGCTTTGCGAAAGTTTTATATTTTCATTTTTATGATCTAGCCGGGTAGAAATAATCCCCTCCATTACTATGTATATATAGTCAACATTTTTACAGTAGCTCTAATGTTTGCTATGCCACACTTGTAAACATACATCCGCTGTAATATACGCACTATTATTATTATTATTATCTTCTTTTCTCCTTTAGTAAAAATTGTAACTAATTTGAATATCGGTAAATTTTACTAATATAATTTTTACTAATTCAAAGAGAGTATATCTTTATCTATCTCCATATATATATATATTTATGAAAGAAAATAATTTTCCAATATATATAAAATCATTTAGTCAACTTTTTTCCATTTGTAGAATAAAAAAGAACCCTTTCGATTTCATCTTAAACCATATTCCGCATGCATGAATTTCTAGTATATAAAAATCCCAGGAGAAAAAGCGGAAAACGTGAACCGTAAAAGGGGATAGTGAATTGGCCAATGCGACAAGAGTGGTATAGTTGTGATGAGAGAAGGGGGGGGGGTGGCTCTTGAGTTACTTCCAGGGTCGGTTTGGAAAAAGCGTCCCAAGGAAAAAGTTCTGCTTAACGTCTTGAAAGTGTCTCAAAAAGAGAAACTCCGTCAGCGGGACTCCTCTAAGTGTATCACATAGTAAATTTAGTTTTCCAACCTCCACATAAGACTGGGCGCCCCCCCCCTCACTTTTTCTTCAGTTTCTCTTGGTAAATTCCACAGAGGTTCCTGTGGGATATCGTTGAGGCGGCCATGTTTCAAGATGGCGTCTTCTCTCTTTCTATCTCTCTCACTCTCGCTGAGCTAGACCGTTCAAGCGAATCTGGCCGATCAAACGGGGGCTAAGAGCCGCGCTTTTGGCCGGGTTAACTCAATCCGGGAGCTTTCTCCTCTCTAGGCAACTTCCTCTATCGTATATACCCCTTCCACTCTTTCAATCCACTCCCTCCACTACCCCCTTGCCGCCCTTCGTTCCACACCCCCCCCCCAAACCGTTCCAATCGATGAGCTTGCGACAACGGACCTTTAGATACTTTTATAGACGTATATATAGAAAGGATATAGGATTGGAATCCCGTGGGAGGAAAACACCTTCTGAGAGTTCTTTTTTTTAGTGATATACTTTTAAAAAATTAATTGCGAGAAATTAGATATACGCATTTTTTTGTAATGAAACATAAATCATTTGCAATATTATTAGTTGTCGGATTTTGAGGTTATATTGTAGACTATATAGTATAATTATATTTAAAATAGTTTATAGTTTAATATATAGTATAACATAATCTCAAAACAGTTCAGTTTAGATATAGTATAACATAACCTCAAAATAGTTCAGTTTAGATATAGTATAACATAACCTCAAAACAGTTCAATTATACTTTTGAGGTTAAATTATATATATGTGTAAATTTGGTTATGACGCGGTTTGTTGTGACTATAATTTTAATAGTCAGACATGCATCGAATCTGCTGATTCGCAGAAAAGAGATGAGGCGAAAGTGAGAAAACTTTTTTTTCTGTTTGAAGAAATATAGAAAAAGCAGAAGAGCCGGAAGGAATACAAAATGAATTGCAGTATATATATATATATATATATATATATATATATATATATATATACTAGGGGGCTATGCCCCCTGCGCGCTCCGCGCGCCAACCCCCACCCCCCTCCTCTCTTCCCCTCCTTTTCCCCTCTCCCCACCCTAAATGTAAAGGTTAAGATCGTTTCAAGACTCTGAATATAGCCGTAAGTCCCCCTTCCTTTTCTTCTACCCCCCTTCTCTTGACTTGCGGCTATATTCAGAGTCTTAGAACAGCGGCGGCAGCGGCTTCGCGCCCCAACCCCCATCCCCCTTCTCTCTTCCCCTCCTTTTCTCCTCCCCCCACCCTAAATTTAGAGGTTAATATCGTTTTAAGACTCTGAATATAGCCGCAAGTCCCCTCCCTTCTCTTCTACCCCCCTTCTCTTTACTTGCGGCTATATTCAGAGTCTTGGAACAGCGGCGTCGGCGGCGGCGGCGGCGTTGGCGGCGATATCTTTTTGTAATATAGGTAGATATATATAGGGGGGGAGATGAGTTTGAAGGCAGTAGGCGTTGTACACTTATACAAGTGCAATATATACGGTTGTAATCGGTTTCCTCGGGAATTCCCACCCTGCATTTGCGGGGATAATTTGCGGTGTCTCATCGCGACTGCGTGGCCCAATCGGAGAACAGCCAATCGCGTCTCGGATGCGCGAAACCACTGAGAACAAAAGGATCACATACAGCGGAAGGCTGTCGGCGGCTGATCGCCATATATAGAATCACGCAAAAACATATCCACCGCATCGATTTCAGCTCAAAACAAAAGGAAACTCCTCGCAACCCCTTTATATATATATGTATCTATTAAACCGATTTTCTATATTATAGCAGAATTTGTATGAACCGAAAAAAAATATTCTTGTTTTTAGAGGAAAATTCCTCTTTCTTAAATCCTCTCATAGTCTAGGAGGAGAATTCTTCAAAATAAGAGAAATCCTCTCGAAACAAGAATATTTTTTTTCACACAATTTCTGGTTTAATCAAATTTTTGATTATATATACAGAGATGAATAATTGTTGCTTTTTTTGTTACAGGTGGTAAAGAGGACGATCCAAAGGGACCATCCTCGAATTCATTGAGTTCGGCGCAAAGTAAGAAGCAAAGAAAAGCAAGAACCGCATTTACGGATCATCAACTTCAAACACTAGAGAAGAGTTTTGAAAGACAAAAGTACCTTAGCGTTCAAGATAGAATGGAATTAGCAGCAAAATTGCAACTCACGGACACACAAGTCAAGACGTGGTATCAAAACAGAAGGTAATTTTTTTATGATATTAAATTAATTTCATAATTCTAAAACGATGCTCTAAAAAAAAATTTGAAATTAAAATTATATATTTGAAATCACCAAAATAGAAGTTAATTGGGTTCTTCCGGTACAGAGTGGCGAGAAGATGCTCTTTCAATTAAAATTCGCAAATTTCACGTATCATATTCTTCATTATCATATATAAGAAATTAAATAGCTGATCAGTTATGGATAAAATGCAGAGAGCATGAAAGATTGCGAATGTAAAAAAAGGAGTGTTGCTTCTTCATATATGTATTTATATATACATGTAGAAAGGGTATTTAGTATTGAAAATCAGTTGAGCGGACAATCTTGGCGTTTAACCACGTAAACAACAGGCTTTGTTGCTCGCCGCGATTTCCATTTACAAATTCGTCACGGATGGTACAAAAGAACTTGCCGCTTATATATATGTAGCTCTCATCGTCGTCGATGATTATACAAGCTAAACCATTATCGCTATGTATATATATTTACAAAGTCATACAAGAAGATCAAAGTCGTTCTGGATCACTCCTTCTCTAGCAAGAGAGTATATATAGGGAAAGTACGAAATAAGAAATATTATATATACATCTGCTTCCGCAGGCTCCGCCTACTTATCAAAGTCATGCAGTAAAATAATTTAGTTTCTTAAAAAAAACGAACCCTTAGATAGATGTAAATTGAAATTTTAAAAACACTTGGGAAGTGGATCGAGATTTTGTATATCCTTGCCAACTGTTTCTAAAAAAAAGGGGAAAACTTACTGATGAAACTAAATCTCAAAAAAATGAATCTCCAAAGAAAAGAAAAAATTATTTTTTTCTATTTTAACGAGATCGCGTGTTTGAAAGTTTGTTTTTTAATTTTTCCGTGTTTTTCCGTACTGCTCGTTTTTGTATATATATATAAAAGAATATAATCAGCCATGAAGGGAAAAAGCGTATACCAGCCGAGGCGTCAAATTATAATTTTCCTCGGTTGGTGAACGCTAAATTTTTCTACTAATATATATACTTTATGTTAAACACGTATACCTCTTTTGACTTTAAACAATTCCGAACTAATTAGGAAAAATATTAAAAGTTACGAGGGGGTGAGACTTATAGAAAAAGGGATCATAGGCGCCACACAACATGACGATGTATAAAATCAACAGAAAAAGATAAAGGCGATGCCGAAGAAAAAAAATCAGACGTTTCCTTTTAACATCAATCAAAAAAAAGGACTAATTATATTGCACAGTGAAACTCCATTATTGTATTTTTCTATAAAAACGATTTACTTATTAATATTTGTAAATTTTATTTTCTAAATAAAAATTTTTCCCACAAATATATATAGTACGTATAATATTACTGTAATGTTACACCGTTATATTGCAAATATTCCATGTAATATTACTGTGATATTAAAGTAGTATTATTAAATGCCACTTGTGCTATTTAGAAAATAAATTTACAGTATGATTTTAACAAGAATGGGAAATTTATTTTTTTAAAGGAAGTAAAGTACATATATTGTTTAGGTGATTTGTGTTAATTAACCTCACAGTTCGTGACGCGGCAATTTTTATTTTTGGTTCCCAACCAACTATTGAGAATAGTGAAAGGTTTATAAAATTAATGCGCACCGTGAATTATCATTGAACTGTCAATTATTTCCGAATAAGAATATTGTCAAATAAAAAAAAAATAAATATAAAATAACATAAAAATAACAATACGGAAATAAATATTTCACGACAGTTTTGTTTTCTAATTGAATAAATTATTTTTCATTGAGCGAACAATCGATGATGTTCTGGCACTTTTTTTTTCATTCCGTGACGAATAATCAAAAATCTTAGGAGTCCGTGACCGCATCATCCCCGTTAAATCGGTAAGAAAATATTGCAAAAAGAAAAAAGAAACCTTACATTCTTTTTTGTTTTTGGTTGGGACACACGTTATGATTAATTAGGATGTGGTAAAGGCGCGCGTGGTGACTTTCAGGATTCGAATAAGAATATACCAATATTATATATAGGAAGACGGAAAAAAAGGTGAGGACCTGGTGCAAAACCATGGATGAAAATTAGTGACGCTTTTAAACTGACAGACTCCTTAAGTGCTCGCTTATATTTTGTTGCTTTAATTTTTTTTTTCGAGTGACTTGGCGCGTTTTTCATTGCACATGGGCGCCATGACCACACCTATTGGGCGCCACTCTGACGGATTTTTATCTTTTCTCGCGCGACCTACGACAGCCTAAAATACAGGAAGTGTCTTTTCAAATTGGTTAAGCTTTTAATTTCTTCTTGTATCCCTATTATATATATATATATATATATATATATATATATATATATATATATATATATATATATATATATATATATATATATATATATATAAACACAATTCTTTTCTTATCTGATTTTTTCTTTTTGAAATAAAAATTATTCCTCTAACAATTTTTAAAAGCATATATAACTTTTTTATTTTGAGGTTATATTAACGGTTTAAACCTCCTTAAAATAAAATACAATTAGTAATAGGCGCAAAAATTGAATTTCTAATAGAATCGTTTAGTTGCTTTTTGTTTGCTCTATATATATATAATATGTAAATATATATATATTAAATTGCGCTATATACAATAAATTCAAGGAGCGTGTAAGTTATAAATTCGAGAAATCAAGATTAACAAGAAAGTAAATGTTCCATAAGTTAAATATATAAAGTGTAATTAAGATTAGAAGTTTCCACAAGAGTGCATATAAAAGCACTTCCGTTTAATTTTGATATCTCCATCAAATATATATATATATATATATATGGTGAGAAAAAATAATTAACGAAAGATTATGCGTATCTCTTTTGGCTATAAACAATAAAAATTTTAGTAAAAAAAAAATAATAAACTTACTAAATTTGAATCAGTAAGATTTCTAGCTACTATTTAGAAACCTTTCATACCGAAAACAGTCAAATTATTAAACAGTAAGGATTCTACTAATTTTTTAGTGAAATATGACTGAATTTCAGTGGAAATCTTACTGATTCAAATTTAGACAGTAAAGAATATTACTTAATGTATTACTATATCTTACATCTGCCTACTCATTCTGTACCATTTGCTTCGTTAACGACTTTAATACCCCTTCCGTGATTACATATATATATCCTTTGCGGTAAAAGTCGCAAAGGACTTTTGAGCGCGCGTAATCCGCGCGTATGTTATATATATATGAATAAATACGTACTTGCGTGCGAGCACTTATCATAAAATGCAAAAGCAATCAATCATTTTAGTAAAGACATATATACATCGTAAGAGCGAAAAGTTTAGCCATTCGTATATGGATGATGATGGTAATTACATCTTATTCTGTCCGCTACGTGTGTTTCTTTTTTTTTCGTATATTATAAATAATCATAATTGTGAACGAGCATCAACCGTAACGAACTGATCACCATATGTACAAAAAAAAGAAATTTAAATTAAATTGACTTTATAAAATAAAGTCGAATTTTGTTTGAATTATTTTTTTAAAACAGAACTTCCATTAAACCATGACGATTTTCAATCTATTCTATTTCTCTATAATACTGTAGAATAAGCCTAAAAATCGTTTTTGCATTCTATATAATCCCAATAACTGATTCGATTCTTAGAAAGTTTATTTTTAAAATCCCAATTTGAAGCAATCGGAATAATGGAAATGTATTTGCCAATATATGGAAATTGTCGGAGACCATTTCCATAACACAGGGTTACGTACTCGGACATTAATAAATGTATATATACACGTATATAATATATAATTCTTCATGTTTGCATATTATTTTTGAGATTGCCGGAAGAATTTACGAGCGCTGGCCAATCGTTGAGTTTTGTGGTTGCGCGAATAGGTGAACTGATATATAGGGGCAAAATAGATAGGCATCAAATCAAAGAATGAGTTGCTCTTAGCATAACAATTGCACGAGCCAAATAGAGTCCATGAGGAATCACGTACAATTTCTAGAATAATTCTACTCTTTTATTTCTCTCCTTGTCACTCTTTGCATTCGTTGACTCTCTCTATCTCGTATAACTACCCCCATTTCTCTTGCTACTCGTAATATCGTATCCAATTCACTCCCTCTACATATATCCCCACTCATTCGCTCTCCTCACTTCATGTATGTAAATCCCGTTCTGGGACAATTACGCTAAAACGGGGTGGCGTGCGGCCAAGTGGTTACGTTGGCCACACTGCGGGGCTTATTATACTAACAAATAGCCCGTGGAGTCCAGTGCCTAATCATCGCGTATCATGCCACGCATACTGTGGCCCCTTGCTTGACGGGTATATACCCTTGTACTCGAACTAGCGAGAGGGAGAAAGAGAGAAATAGATCCGTCACGAAACTAGAGCAAATGAGAACCGCGAACTTTTCGAGAATATATATAGGAACCTATTTTATACAATGTCGATTAATCCTCTTTGAATATAATATCTGTTAAATTATAACCTTTCCTCTCATCGACCTCCAAAAAGGTGAGAGTTACAAATATGCTGATGAAGCTCGTGTGAATTTCATTATTACACACACGACACCCTAACAAATATTTATCTCTCGAAAAGTGATACTCAAAATAATTTTTATCCGCAAACAATAATAAAATTATTTTCAGCAATTGCATTTGCCGGAAGAGTAAAAGACGGCGCAGTAATATGTTTGACATTCGTTATATTGGAGATTGTTATATATGTGTATATAGAAAAATAATGTTTTGGGAAGAACATTATGATATTATAACCGTGAGAAATGTTCATTCCGGCTTTTCTAAGCGGAAGAAGGTGCTTCTCCTTCCCACGCTGTTGCACATCTAACTGCATTATAACTGTCTCAAGTCCCCAAGTAAAAATTTCTTCCTGATGGTTAAAAAAAAAAACCTAAGTTATTTTTTTTTAGTGGTCACGTACCGCCCAATATGTCCCATTGATGCAATAAAAGTATATTTATAAGTAAGTGGTCACGTGATACAATGGGTAATTTTTACTGTTTTCCATGGTACAAAATTGGAAGGAACGAGGCTAATTGGACGACAAGAAACGATAACGATACATGACTATAACAATTACCTTATCATGTATGAGGAAGACATTCGATAATAAGTATATACATAAGGTAAAAATTTACTGTAGTAAAGAAATACTAAATAAAAGTAAGATCTAGATTTTAGAAAATAAAAGCTTTTTTTGGTAACAAATTAAAACCATTCTATTTTAAATAAATATAGAATACGTTATTTAAAATTTTATATCGCTTCTATATAACAAAACGGGTTTTGAGTTACAGCATGTGCTGTTATTATTTGGATGTCCCTTGTGCAGTGAGGCAAATAATAACAGAAAAATATGTCTCCCTTTTGGTTCATATATATTGTTATTATAACCGACAAGGCAAAACTCGTGCATTAAAGTGTCACACGAACTTTCGTAACCGCAGAGTCAGAATCAACCAGACCTACCACCATTATAAATACATTAAGTCTCCCCCCCCATTTAATTTTTAGGTATTTTCCCGTTTCCAAGAGGGCTGTATTTATATACCCAACAACAAAAATGCGATACTCCCTACAATTCGAAAAATGGTGCACTATTAACTCCACCTGATAATTTACTCTCTACTTTTTTATATATATACTCTCAGAATCATTTTTGAGATCATTTCCTGCTTTCTAATAAACGTAACTTTATGCAACTATATATATATGCAAAGGATAAAATTCATTGTAAAAACTGAATAAGCGGGATTATTATTTTTTGTCTTGTTCTGATGATGACTACCCTCAAAAAGTCATAAATCAATCGTACGACACACAAAAGAAGGAACATGGCAATTAAGGGTGTTTTAGAGTGGTTGCACTCGAGATGACTGTCAATGGAGAGGCGAAAGGGGTATTAAAAAACATTACTCATCATATAATCGCACACGGGCGGTTTTTCACTGCATCGAGAGAGTCGTGCACATTTTTTTTTTTACTATTCTATTTCTTTCCTTTTTGCATTCTCATATTCTTTTTCACTCTTGCACGTCGACGGAAAAATGAGAAATGATCGCGTCGCTCAATTCAGAGAGAACGACGAGGGCCTGTTTAAAATTCATGAACGATTTTACTACCCTTGGCGTCACAAAAGGGCGAGCCGACGACCGAGCATTCACTGTCCCACATTCGCAAAAATCCCCCCCCCCCCACACTCCTTTCTCTATGTTTAATATCGCCGTTACACAGTTATATGATTTAAATTTAAAATAGCAAAAAAAAAAAAAAAATTCAAATGGAAGAAAGAAATCTATTCGCAGTTTCGGATTAAACAATCTCTATATCCAAATCAAAAATTCTTTCCGAATCAATTAGTTTTATAAAGTTGAATTTCAATTCATATACACTATATAAATAAATTTATATCATGAAAAAAAAATAATTAAAATTTTCCCTTTTTCTTTGTATTTTTCCAGGACAAAATGGAAGCGACAGGCAATAGTGGGCTATGAAATTTTAGCGGAAGCTGGTAATTATGCAGCATTTCAAAGATTGTATGCAAGCGGTGCTGCTGGTGTTCCAGCGCATCCTGCAGCGGGTTCCTATTGGCCATATCCTGGTGCAGCAGCACATCATCAAAGTGATTTCTTTTATCGTCAAGCAGCAACTGCCGCAGTAACATTACAAAAACCATTACCCTACAGATTATATCCATCGGCATCAATGATTATGGCTGGACCAAGTACACCGCTAGGCCCATTGGCGGCAAGTTCGAGTCTTTCAAATTTAAGTAGTTTTTATAGAGACAGCCCCGAAATAATGGATCCAAGGGAAAGGGAAAATATTGAACGTAACGTTATGTCAAGGGACAGAAGTAAAAGTCTCGAAAGAATTTCACCGTCTAGAGAAGATTCACCCAATAGTATAAAAGCTGAAAGTGATGAAGAGAGTATAAACGATGTTTAAGAATATTGTTTCCCTTTTTTTGTAAACGAATTTTTTTTTATTTATTTATTTTTTTTTATTAATGTGGAGGGAAACTTTTTTTTGAATTTATTTTTTAGAAGTGAATATTCTAAAAATTCAAATTTTGATATATATCGTTTGCGAAATATTCGACGCGATATAGAGAGAGAGAGAAAAAACAAAATTAATATTATATTTCGCTTTTTGATATAAAATATAATTTCAGCTTTAACGCAGAAGGCGAAATTTGAACTTTTAGAATTTTTTTGCTGGTGTGAACATTTTTTGAATATGTTTAACAAGCTGTTCTGGAAACATTTATTTGTTCATTTGAGAAGTATAGAAATTCTTTCCATAATAGAATCTTTTAAATTCAAAAATTCGAATCAAGAATTTTTGTATTTCAAATAAATATCTTTTAATTGACTCAAATAATAATTATTTGATACAAATCCACTTTATTTGATCAAGCAATCAATTATTTGAATCAACAAAATTTTTTTTCAGTGATAATCTTTTTTTTTATTATGATTTCAGTCAATTAAATAATCAAGAAGAAAAATTTTGGTTTAATAAAAAGTAAATTTGCACTTTGTATAATATAAAAAAAAGTCCATAAGCCGACAGCGAAATCCGCAATTAATATGACATTAGACTCTCAGGATGGTATACTTTTGAAAGAACACTTCAAATTACGTTGCTCCTGCTACTTTATATGATTCAATTAAAAAACGAATTTAATTCATACTTTTGTTATGAAGGCACAAAAACTGTTAATTATTTAAATTTACAACCTTTCAAATATTTATTTTTTAAAAATAAATTGAAAATTTTTATGAAAAAAAAAAAATTATCAAATGAAACTTGAAATGTTTCCAGAATATTTTTGAAAGTCTCAAAGGCCAAAAATAAGAAAAAAAAAAAAAAAAAAAAAATGAAAAAAGGCGCACTTGATCCAATCGTGTGACGTAATTAAATGATCGCAAAGCGACATTATTGTGCAACATTTGTAAATAAAAAAAATTTTAATAAATAGAAACGCTCCATTTTTGTCAAGGTCGGAGCGCTCATTGTACTATTGCATATAGGACTTAATTGTAAGATTTTTAAGAAATGTAAATAAGGAAAAAAAGCGCACTGAAGATGAAAAAATATACGTAAAATCGTATACCAAAAGGGTGTAAAAGAAAAGAAAAAAAAAAAAAAGAAAAAACAAATTCCCTAATCTCTATATTAAGGATATAAGTCGAGGCCAACGGAAGTAAAATATTTTAAAAGTATTTTTCAGACTTGAATAATATATATATATATACCTATTTCCGTCGCAAAATAACTGTTTGAAAAAGCGTCGAGAAAAATATCAAACTTGGTGGCACAAGTGCAGTATAATAAAATAAATCATTTACATTTTACTTTCAATCGTATTTTTTGTAAAATTCAACAGTTAACTTTCTAGAAAATTTTTTTTTCATTTTAAAACCACTATTTTTCTATTCTCAAATTATAATAAGAGATTTTATAATCAGAACAATATTTTTTTTTTAATTATTTTTTGCAATTTTAAATTTTTTGCAAATTGATTTAAAAAATGAATATTTTTTTTACTGCAATGATGTATTTTAAAATTTTTTTTTCCTTCCGTTCTCCGTCGTTTTTTTCTTCTCCACGATAAATGTAGCGTCGATCGTGCAACAATCGAGAGGTGCGTTCGATAATGAAAAAAATACCAGTATTATAAATGTATAAAATTATAGAATTTACCGAACCCGAGGCTGGTGCGAATGTAGGATTACATTATACAGAAGACAAGAAATTACCGTGCAAAAATAAAAAAAAAAATGAAAAAAAAAAAAAAATAGCAGGGTAGTTTGATTCCCGTGATCGATCCGGTTTTGATCGATTAAATAATGCCAGTTCGATTGATGATAAAATACGTGTAAGTCTCTCTCGCAGCATGAAGGTTGTAGTAAATCGTGCTTTGTAAAATAATGTCTGTATAGCAAAAATTATTATATGGAAAATATATTATAATAAATTTACGAATTATGTCTTTTTCTTTATTCACAATTTCCCTAATAATTTAATTTTTTTCATTCATTTTATTAATTTTTAAAAATGATTTAAATTCATATTAATTTTTTAAATTATTATTTACAAAAAATATATGTGACCCTCCACGGTGAAAGGGTGCGTAGCTGCTTAAAATTTTAGGTTATGTTCATGGTAGTTTTTCCTTTATTAAAAATTTATTTTTGATTATTTAACATCAAAAGCATTTTTTACTGAAAATATTGCATCTAATAAATAATTAAATAATAATAGTTTGTACCGAAAACTAATCGCTTTTATTTATTTTTACTGCAAAGTTTATTTCTGTCAAAAACAGCTAAGCACCCTTTCACCGTGGAGCGTCACATATTAATTTGTTAAAAATGAATTAGTATAAATAAAAATTTATCAACTTTTATTAATTAATTTTATAAGTAAATAAAAATTTTTTTTTCTATATTTTCTAATATAAATAAAAATTTTTTTTTATTTTCTATTTAATAATATTTCATTTTTATAATATATAATTTAATAACCAAAGTATTTAATAATAATTAATATATACTTATTTCTTTATTTATCAACTTTCTCTATTCAATATAAGCGTCAAATAATTGAATGAAAAATGATTTGTGATATAATTGATGGCGAGTTGTGTAAATGCGAAATAGACAAGATTCGCAGAGAGAAAGAGAAAAAAAAAGAAAAATAAGTGTAGAAATTGGCGTTTCATGGTGGAGTCTTAAGCCTCTTCATCGAATTTTCACGCAAGACGAAATAGCCACATATACATATATATAAATACATATAAATATATATATATGTATACATATATATATACATCGACCCTTCCAGACGTTGCTGAATACAAGGCATGACAGGCCAGACTCGAGACTTAATCGTATTTGCTTATTTCCGCCGGTGCCGCTGCAATTATATGATGGAAGGGGTTATTTTATTCCTATTAGGGTAAAACGGGTAGCCTGGGTAACCCCAATTACGAGAAATTAATTTGAGTCCCATTAGTGGTTGACCGGTGTGCGAGGCGAGAGCATAACTGAAAATGCATACTTAACTTATCCGATCATGCGAAACCTGCCTGAATTTTGTGACGTAAAACTTTTATCAATTATAAATTTTTATTAAATATTAAGATTCCGTTTTAATTTATTACGCATTTTTATTAAAATAAATTTTAATTTAATCAATTTTTTATGCATTTAAATTTATCACCAGAGGTTGCAGCGGATATTCACTTTTTTTTTTGTTATGTATATATATATGTGATTTAAATCTGAGGATGCGGAACGGAAGTGAAAAGAAACTTCCGAAAAATGGTGAAATAGTCGATATCCTTTCAGGATGTCGAAGATTCGGCTGATGGAAATCGAAGAAGAAAAGGTTATAATATGGAAGATGGTAAAGAAAGTGGGTGGGGGAGGGAGGGAGGGGGGGTCTTGATGAGGAATACGAGAGGATGTGGTTAACCCGTGGTCAAATCGAGCTTTTGCGAGGTTTCTACATCCTCTACAACTAGTAACAATAAAAGAGCCAACAACGTTGGATATATCGTTGGAACAAAAGTAAAAGGACATTGTCCCCCTCCCCACCTCCTCCTTCCCTCTCGCGCCCTTGCATCCTGTATTCATTTTTGCGCACTACTGTTCAACGAATCAGTCACTTGACACTTTCAATTGTTTCCCTAATTCTACCGAAGAACCGCAAAAGAATATAGGGGGAAAAAAAATTATTCTTCTCTTCAATTTGTATATATAAACAAAATTTAATAATTTTTTTGTTTGTTATTTATACAATTTTATGTAAAATTTTTTTTTTTAAAGGAAAATATAAATTATAATTCATATTTGAGGTTATGTTTCTAACATAATTAAATTTGAGGTTATGTTCTTTACTATATATTTAATATGTTAGATTTATAATTGTAGCTTTACTTATATATATATATATATATAAACCAAATTAATAGTGTTATAAAACTGTATATAGAATAATTAATGATAAAATTACGGTGTTTGTTTTCTGGTTAGCATTAGGTAAACATTGAAAATAAAGGTGCTCATAAAAGTAAAACATGAAATTATATATGCATAGCTGGCATTTAATATATAAAATGAGTGCTTTTCCCTCTTCCAATTATGACAGATGGTCTTGGTATATATATATATATATGATAGTATAAGATACACTATAATTTGAATAGAAATTAGCATGTAAAGACCTTTCTAAAACACAAAATGATTATGGTTTTAAAAACAAGTTATTTTCCCTCATTCACTCTTTTATTATAATATATATATACTTGGTTTTTCAAATGGTTTTCATATATAAATGTATAATCTTGACAAGAAAACCCTATCAAATAATCTATTTATCAAATTCGCCTCTTTAACATGTCAAAGAAACATCATTAGAGAAAACAAAGAAATTTACTAATTATGCAATGTAATAATTAGAAATAACACATAATTTAATATTAAAATTATATATCAGGAATATTTTTTTTTTTTTGTTGAGCGATATGAATAAAAATTAGTTAGAATTTTTATTCAATACAATTTTATTAGATTTTTTCTTTTAGTCCTATTGAATTAAAAATATATTATTATAATATAGTGACAATAAAAAAAGACCTTGCCAATTCTAGTTTAGATAAATATCTAAATTAACCATATATAAAATATTGTAATCACGTGAGGTTTTATTAAGGTTTTTTTTCTTTAAAGGTAATTGTGAATGAAGAAGTATAACGCGTGGCATATACAATGGCAAGTGGGATAGGGGGGGGGGGGTTTCTTCGAGGAAAGTAAACGAAGGGAAAAAATCGAAGAGAGTGTATAAGAGCGTATAAGTGTCCCAAAAGGCACCTGCCTCCTTGGCGTTGTTATCTACTGATCGACTATATGGTGTGTGTGTATATATATATATATATATATATATAAGCTAAAGAAAGGAGCTAGAGCGATCTTATCTCATTCTGAACCAGCGGACCACTTATATCGTTAATTGCTCTCACTTCCGTTACCTTCTATGTGCGCCCCACTGCTATTCTGCGTGTGCGCGAGCATGCCACTAATAAAGTCTCACTAATATAATTCATTTTCATAAAGCTAAAATAAGGACATTAACCTCATTTTTACTTTCTTCTTATTCATATATAAATATATGTATTATTACTCCTTTCATGGGACGCATTTAAATCAAAAAAAAAATTTCTTTACTCGATTTAATTATAATGTATAAAAATGATGTATTACTGTCTACAATATTACAAATAATTAACAATTAAATTTAGATAGATATTATTTATACCTATTTAAAACAAAAAATTTATTAATAAAAATACTGACTTTTAAATAATCTAGGTCCGCTAAATAGTTTCTACATAGTTACCTATCTAGAAACTAGATAGTATAACTGGGACGTAACTATATAGAAACTATCTGGTTTCTTGATACTTGAACTATATGGAAACTATCTAGTTTCTAAATATATGAACTATATAAAAACTAGATATTTTCTATATAGTTCATATATCTAGAAACTACATAGTTTCCATATAGTTCAAGTATCCAGAAACTAGATAATATAGAAAATTAAATCTGTTAATTTTAGGTGATTTGTTTGAGAAATTTTAATTCGTTTAAAAAAAAGGTTTGCTTTCTTTTTTAAAAAAAAACTGTAAAACCAAATCGGAATAATAATATTTTGAAAGTCTAATTAGTTATATATTAATTTTATGGAAAGACGATAAACTAGTTTGTTTTTAATATCGTCAGAATGAATCGAGTATACAAATAAAAGTGAAAGAAAATTTATCCTATCAACACAAGATATTGCATGCATTCCGTGTTTTCCATTTATATTATATAACGTGAAACTAGTTTACGCTTAAAATTCGATTAGATTTGATTAATTGATACAACCGTAATTCTTAATTGAAAAAAAGCTGAGAATTTAATAAGGGCAATTGCGTTAATATTTATATCAACTTTATATTTTATTTATTTACTTATATATTAATTTATATTTATTTATTTTCAAATTACTTTTTCTTAACACTTTCCGTATCATAAAATGTGATTTTGAATAATAAATACTCTATTTAAAAAATTAATTTTCCACACTTAATTTTCTCATTAAAATTTTGTTATAATTCCTGATTCTTCCCATGATTTCTACCATAATTATTCAATTTCAAATTTTTATTTAAAGCGAGAATAATTGAGATACAGTTTCTATTATATGCATATATTATTATATATAAAGAGGTTTAATATAGAAAACCGTTCAATTTAATAGTAGTGTAATTTTCAAATAAGTATTTTGAAATATTTGTAATTATTTTTAATTTAAAAATAATTTTTAATAATTATTAATTAATTAGAATTATTAATGAATTAATAATTAATATATATAAAATTAAATTTTAAATTTAGATTGAAAAAACAGTAATAAATAATTTTTAACATTGAAAATTTTAAACAAATTAAAAAACATTTTTTCGAAAATGATATAAAGTATATATAATTCTTTTGAATAACGCTAGCGGTAAATGTATAAATGACACATATTGCAGAGAATATGTTATATATATATGTAAAAATTAATGTAAACAGTTTTAATATAGTTTAATAATGGAGACTTTAATCGTAAATGTTATAGTGATCATTATATATAAAGATATTTTTATCACTTCTTATACTTGAAAGTATAAGTGACGATAAGGGACATGCAATCTGAAGTTGAAAGAGTCGCAATTGCACAGGTGATAAGCGATGACTTGCAACCGTTTGAAATTCAGGCTCGCATGTCCCTTATCACCCTTTGTCATGCATGAGATCTTGTCACACGAAACGACATGTATTTAATTAGAGTCATAGGTATAATTAGATAGATTTCAAATACTAGAACACTCATTATTAAAATACACCTCTCTTTTATATATATATTATTCATAGAATATATATAG